ATGGTTTCGTTAAAATCGACAATTTGCTTATAGCCACACCCACTGGGGGTGTGGTGTCAATATTGTAATAATTGTGTCGAGATCCCCTCGTCGAGCTGAGAAAAATGATATATCATATGACATGGTTTCATACGAATCAAAAAGTCGCCGAGGGCCACACCCACTGGGGGTGTGGCAGGTGACTATTAAAAATTTCCTTATATAATATGTGCTTTAGGTTATTGTTGGACACCAAAATCTAATTTTTAGTTCTTCAAATTCGGCTCAAATACATTTTTGGCCAAAATTTATTAAATCTGGCCCACTGTTCAATGGCACGGTTGCCCTTGCTTTTTGACTCGGTATGTATGCACTTGTATATTCCCTCCCGTGGGAGGTGGGCGAAGTATGCGTAAAATGGAAAGGCAAATTTTTTTATGGGACTCTCATTGCCAGCAAGGACTGCATTTATTTGTCTCTTTTGTGACACAGATGCATTTGCTTAATGGAGGAAGGAGTTGAAGCAGCAGAAGGAATAAAGCGAAGTAAAAGGAACATCCAACCCAAACTGACGAAAAGTTTCGAGATCTCTTCTTCTCTCATCCTCCTCTTCATTGTGTAGCTGGTATGGTGGTGGTATTAGTGTGATGGATATACACGACCCGAATTTTAGAATATGGGTCACCAAACAGGGCGAAGGATCGATAAGAATAAGCTCGTAAAAAGAAGGAAGGAGGGTGTTGAGGATGGGATGGAAAATGTGCGTACCACTTGTTCAATTCTTCTATATTGGAACGAATTGGTTATGGATAAGGGGACAATATGTAGCCACACGAGAGACTCGTCTCCTACGAAAAATTTGGCAGGTCGAGATGTCACGTTGTCGATAGTCAAGTGTCATTTTATTCTTGTAATGTGAGGGGAAGTGTGGATCTGAAGGTCTGCCGGCTGCCTCGTTCATTTCATTTCAGCAAGTCTGCAAATTATTAAGTACCGCATCCAGCGTCGCCTTCTTCTTCGAGGAAAGTTGAGAAATTATCACTTTACAAAAATGAAATAAAATCTGTCTTGACGCAATAAAATTCGGCTTTTATGAAAGATAAACATGTGCGAAATTATGAAATATTATACCACGCCAGGCCACGATATACGATATTTTATTATTCACTCTCGCCCGATCAATAATACCGTTTTTGATCCTGGACGTGATCTCTCTTGGTATTTGTACAAGTAATTTTAGATTTTAGATTCGCCCTCCTCCATTACCTAAAAGATTTTGGAAGTGGTGGTGAAAGTAAACACACGGCTTAGTTTCCACCAAGCAGAGCTCAATTTCTCTGCGAGATCAAAATTCAGGATGAGCATTATTAAAATGATGATCTCTCTCTGAATATTTCCATTTTTCCGCTATCTCCACCTCCCAGACGGGACGGTGACGAAGGCAGAAATTCAAGAAATACATATCTACCTTTAGAGGAATTTAAGACGTGCATCTTGCTTGATCGTGGTCTGGTCTTTTGAAGCATTCTCAAATCCACATTCTCATTTTTATTCGGTTCAATTGTCAAGTATAAAAGGTGGAAAAGTTTCGTGCTATTTTTATGACGGGGTTTGAAATTGGGTGCAATCATTTGAATTCATATTCTGGCCACGATGACAAAAAGGAATTTACTGTTAACCCATGAAATTAGATATTTCCGTTCCGCCCGTACCAATTTTGCTCTTGGAAGCAAATATTTTTCACATTGTGCGGAGATCAACAGTTTAGATAATAAAATGGTTGTTTTGGCTGACTGACTTCGTTAATGATGAATGGACTATGATGAAACTTGCACAACAAAAACATTACCATTATTAACTACCTCACTAATTAGAGCATATGCACGACTAAATACCCACCATAAATAAATGGGGGCTTATCAAAATACCAAATTAAACGACGATCATATTCACCAATGACGGATTTGTGAGACGGAAATTGCCCAAGAGACATGACGCGATGATAAAAATGGCAAAGACCCACCAAATCCCAGGATTTACGTTACATAAGCTATATAAGCACCCACCACACGACTGATTGCTCAAATTATATTTTCCTCCCTCATTTTGTGGCGGTGAGCTCATTAAGTCAGCAAATATTATGTATTAAAAACAATGGGAAGAAACACGAGATATCATCACATCCCATGAAATGGAAATGCATTATTCACATCAATGTTCAAATACATACACGGTTTTGACACAGCCATTTTAGTGCCGATTCTCTTTTAATGATAACGGCTCGGCTCCTCATTTGGAAAGCTAATCACCACACGAAACAAAGGAATAGAGAGAGTAACATTTTGGTTTATTGCTTCATTCGCTAATATATTGCTTTCCGAGGGGAACGGGACCCAGATAAAGTTACTGGCACCAAAACTTCACTAATTAAACTGCTATTCGTCTCCGTGCAAAAGTTTGTTTTCGCTGGTTGCACATTTTGGATAGAAAATGTATCATATTTCAATTAAAGGTTTCCCCGACTTGGCTTTCATGTTTATTTTAGGCCCTTCTATTGACGTAGGCATCATAAAAAGCACAGGTAATACGCTCTGTCTAAAAAATTAGTCAATTTCGACTGTCTCAAAAGTAAGAGATAGGGCATTTTTTTGAAATTTAATTATTTTATAAGTTAATTTGAAGGGGCTAACTACCTTTGAAACTTATTCTAGTATTCGGTAAAACCTTTCCTAGCTAGAATTAGCGCCCATATTCATCGCTTCATGGAGTCGTTGAAGTGCTAAAGGGTCTCCAGAGGGATATTTGCCCATCGGCCATGCATCATTTGCTATAATTCCTTTTAGGTTCGAAATTGACGTCAACCCGACGCGAGAAGTTGGCCCAAAAATTCTTCATGGGATTTAGGTCAGGACTGCTAGCCGGCCAAGCCAAGTTCCCGGCATTTTTCCTGGCAAAGAACTCCATGATTGAACGGGAAGTATGAATTTGGGCGTTGTGATTCTGAATATCCCATCTTATCAGCAAAATTCTGGGTCCCTAGCTGACCAGATTTGACTGGCGTACTCCCTGATAACCTTGTGAATCTGTTCTGGGTGTACTCGTGCTATTTCGGTCTTTCCACGATATCCAAAACCTCCCGCAATATTACCAAATTTTCCATTAAAAATTACAAATTCAATATAAATTTGTGGTTCATATTTTTAGACGAATATTTTTATGCAGAATATTTTTCTAGTCCCATGCATCACCTATGTTCTTGTCTAGAAAATACCACATACCAAAATATGTGTTAATAAATGTGAAGCGTATTTAAATTAAATTTGTAATTTTTAAGGGGCAATTTTGTAATATCTTAGGAGGATTTGGATATCCTGGAAAGACCGAAATAGCACCGATTACACACAGAACAGGTTCACGAGGTTATCAGAGAGTACGCCAGTCCAATCTCGTCAGCTTGGGACCGAGAATTTGCGGATGAGGTTGGATATTCATAAGCACAACGTCCAAATTCATGCTTCCCGTTTAATCATGGATTTCTTTGCCAGGAAAAATGCCGGGAACTTAGCTTAGCCGGCTAGCAGTCCTGACCTAAATCCCATGAAGAATTTTTGGGCCAACTTCTCGCGTCGGGTGGGCGTTAATTTCGAACCAAAAAGGAATTGGGGCAAATGATGCATGGCGGATGGGCAAATTCCCACTGGAGACCCTTCAACACTTCAACGACTCCATGAAGCGATGAATATTCGCGTTAATGCTAGCTAAGAAAGGTTTTACCAAATACTAGAGTACGTTTCGAGGGTACTTACTCCCTTCGAATTATCTTATAAAATGTTTAAATTAAAAAAAATGCCCTATCTCTTACTTTTGAGACAGTTGGTTTTGACTAATTTTGTAAGATTGCAAATAAATTTCTTGACTTAAGTCAAAACTCAATGAAACTTGGCATGAACTTGTAGAAATACCTGAGCTATAATATAATAAAACGGTGGGCCCCAGGACCAAGCTATTAAGAAATAGTAGAATTTTCCAAAACTATCTCTTCATTTTGAGACAGACTATAAAATGAGGATCGGATTACAGATGTAGGCACGGTAGAGGAAGATCCTGTAAAAAATATCTCCAGTCGAGCAGTCCCTCTGCTTTAAATTAAGTAAAGCAATAGGTCAAGTTTTACGACCCGTGAGGGCTGACTGAACTGACCACGGAGGAAATTTAAGTGGTGCGTATTCCCTCCGCTGAGTTTTCCAGAGATGAAACGATGTTTCATTCAGTAAGCGTTGACGTGATGGGGTACTCAACGTCTCATCAAAATCAGATAAGCATTGATTTTCCACCACCACCACCATCCCGCAGTGTGTATTTGTCTTGTAGTTTTTGCACAGATTAGTGCAAACAAACAGCAAGAAAAGTTGCGAACGAATCTGCGTCATCGAATCATCGGAAATCAAGGCGATTGTGTCTGCGTTTCGATTAATTTGTACATACATATGCGCACGTATGTATCTACTTATTAGAATTGAACACAACAACTTTACATTTACATGTTTGTAAGTATGTATGCCCTTCACACCGGTTAACTCATTGACATTGTATGTATGTACATAATTGTTGTTTGTTACCAATCTGAATGCATCAACAATCGACGCAGTCAAACCTGAATAATGGGTTTGTTTGATTTGATTGTATGCACATACATAAGTGTGATGGGTCACGTATCCCTTTATTAACCTAAGTGATCCATTCACCCACTCGTCTTATGTCTACAAGTCCAATGACGTGACAATTTCTTGGTATTTTTCCTACGCAGACTTCACATATTATGCGTCTCCTCACCCATCCATCCACCCACCCGACCCGATGAATCACGCAATTAAGTGTGGATCCATTATTACTTATTTTGACAGCTTATACATACAAACTTGCTCAGCCACCACGTACGTACAGAGAATATCTCGAGTATGTAAATAACATGCGTTTAAATTGCTCCCATAAAACACAAGGGTACGAGTTGACAAACAAATAAAAGCGAACGGATTGCTAATGATGTTTCTCATTTGGAGAACAGCATGATAAGAGGAACCACGATTTATTATTGATAAGCACTTCCATCCACACAGATTCGTACCCTGTCAAACTTGTGCAGTTTTATTTTATGTGTATAACAAATTCATTTTTTCTGCATTACTCACAACTGCAAGTTTACCCAGTTATTTCTGCATCGGAGATTAAGATAAGTTCCTTATCAGGCCGAATGGGATATCAAGACACCCAATAAAAAGGCAATCTCACTGCATAATTGATTCATCGCACATACTTATTTATACCAGAAAGTTGCCTGCCGCAAGCAGCGACACGTGTGCCATTTGACATTGCGAATTGTACAGTCAATGCAGTAAATGTTGTACGTGAATGCGGATATTAAGTACAAAAGGCACCAAAAAGCACACGCGAAATCTACAACTAACGGACGAGAATATCTGTAAGTGAGCGTGGGGTTGGCTGGTGCTGATGTTAAACGCGGTTTGGTTTTTGTCTCGCCGGAGGAGAGTGCAAAAACTTTCCCGGAGTACGAAAACCGCTCTGCTGTGGAACCTGTAAAAGCCCAACTTTCCTCGAGTGCTCATTTCATTTGAGATTCGTCGGTGGAACAAACCGCACCAGCAGAGATCGAGTCGTCGTCAGTCAGTTTTTCCCACGAGTAGTAAATACCAACCACCACGAACCACGTTTCCTTAGTTAACCAACTTCGACCACATTCTTTTCCGAGAAAGAGAATCTCGCCTCGTGTAGTTATCCATGGACTTATTATTCTCGCTAAACCGCTCCGTGACCCACTTTTCACTTTGGAAAGCAACACAGAAAAAGTTCAAAGTGACATTTTCACCCAAAAGTTTAGGGAGAGAAAGTCTGCAAAAGCCATTTGCATAAGGGAAGAAAGGATAGTAAACTGGATTGATTGAATTTTTGCGAGGCTTTGATTACACATTGATTATCACCCCAAAAGTTGAGGAAGATATCAGAGAAAGAGAAAGTGCAGAGAGGATGGATCCCATTAAAAACCTCAACTTTCTCCCATTGTCCCCGTCCAGGGAAAGTTTGGGCGATCTGAATCGGATCACGATGTCAAGAGGAGGAGAAGAAGACGACGACGAGGAAATTGTGGTCGTTCAAGGTCCACCGTTTTATGCGAGGGAAGAAGAATACGAACATGACGAATTCGTCTGGGATCTCGACAGACCGCATCCGTTGTGTATTCCGCATGTAAGTACGATTTCATCCATTTCGTCAGGCTTATTTCCAGGCGAATTAATTAAGCAGTAGTCTTTTATGTACATACACACACTTTTACGAACTGCATACTAATCGCGACATTCGTTGTAGTCGCCGCTGCCGCCGCCGGCTTGCGACTTTATATACATGATTCTGTTCTGTCCAATTATCGATTAGCTTTTAGAACTGCATGGTCGTACCGGGTGCTCTTTTTTTCCCTCGGCATGGCCCACATGCCAAATTGACTAGTTTACCAAGCCTTGCATACAAGTTCAACGGTACGGAGTGCACGATCAATTCCTGTTCCAACATATTGCGACAATCATACTCCTCATAATGCGTCACTTCCTAAGAACACAATTAGAAAAAGGCGTGCAAGCAAATTTAACCGGCTGGCAATAATAATTGCATAAATTGTGAAGCACGGACGACCACCGAGGTCCAATCAAATCAATTAACAATATGGAATCATATGCATATAAAAATTGTATCCACATTTTCATGATACATGCAAAATGCTAATTTATAAATGTAGGTACTCTTAACTTTATCATGTTTCTGGTTTAAATGTCAACTCGTAATTTCTGACACGACACGAGAACTCTGCTGGCTTGACCTGTCTGGCAGGCTGACTTACTTACAACAAACAACTTGCACGGAACCACATAAATTACTCAGGCAATCCTGTGACCCGTGGAATCAAGATTTATTTACGACGGAAGGAAGTCTCTCTCGTTTGTTTGCCACTAATACATAACGAACGCACTCACTCACTGAGGAAAAGTTGGATGCAAAATTTAGCACTACGTGCCAAAAAGTGGTGCAGGCAGGCAGGCCGAGTACGTAACCCAGTTAGTTAGGTGTGAATCACTGTAATCTCACACTGCAGTTCCGGTTTCATCCTCCCCAGTCGAGGCTAATAATAAATAAAGCTTGTCATACACACGCCAAGTTATTAAGCTCCACATGATTACACAAACACATGCAGAATAATAAAGCATGGATGGATGGATGGGTGTGTATGTACATATGTCTACGAATTTGTCTATCCTTTGTATTTTTCGGGGCGATATTTTGTTGCGAAATTGCAATTATTTATCTGCAAAATCCATCCATCTGTGGGGAAAGTCGTTAAAGCTTAATGGTGAAATATGTATGTAGACAAATAGATGTGTGTTGAAATACCTCCCACGAGAGTTATTTACCGCTCCCTCAGTAAATATTGTAACAAGGGGTAGATTTACTTTTCGGTTTTGAAAGCAGCATGTCTTTAATGGGTCGGTAGTCTTGCGCAATATAATGATCCATTTAATTTTAGACTGTGTACACAGAAAGTACGCATATGTATATTTCTTTCCGTGGTGATGCGATCAGTTGCGACGTATGTATGTACATACATAATACTCGTTTAGTCAGGATTATTAGGTAGCAGACTTGACTTGAGTAAAAAAAATCATCTTAATGCTCACCCATCCGTGTTTACTTCTTGGAAGAAGAAAAAAACAGTCGAATTCGCATTGGTGGTTGATTTTTGAGAAGCGAAATTCTAAGGACTGAGGAGTGAGATTCACTAGTCAAAACACTAACGTGATTACTTACATTACTTGAGTCAATAGTTAAAAACAGAAAAAAATGCGTGCTCAGGAGGGTAAAAAAAGTGCTGCATAAATATTTTCCCGTTCGGATGGATGACTAAACTATGATAATAGCCGTGTCGAAAGATGACTACCATGCACGCCGCGCAGTATGTACATAAGTTTTCATGTTTATGTATGTATGCCGAGGTTCTTTACCTTTTGAAATGAATGTGCCCCATTTTCCAAATTAGGAAAAAAAGATGGGTGAAAAGGAATTTTGCAGTTTCTTCAAAGTTTTTAATAACTTCAAGTTGAAAAAAGAAACTGAAAAGATTTGATTTTTAGCATTTTTTGTTAGAAAGGGCACCGGTAATGAAGCTCATAGTTTATCATAAAAGGAGAAGAAATTGAATAGAAACTCCTGAAAAGGAGGCATGTTCTTACATACGTAGGTTTTGAGCAAATGGAAAAAATTGGTAAAAATTGGTCGTCCCATAATCTCACTCACTCACCCCCTCATTTCGCAGTTTATGTATGTACACACGGTTATGTACCTTCACTCATAATTGGCAATTTCCAATTTGGTGGATTCATTCAAGTTGAGGTTCACCATTATCACGGCCACGATATTATGTATGCATGCAGGCCCAACCCAAGGTCCTGCCCTTTGGCTGGAAATAACTTTTACCCACTCACAATAATATCCATACTACGGGAACATAAGAAATTCATTAGGTGGTGTAATGTGGTTTTATGTAGATGCATACATACCTACATGCACATGAGCTTATATTTGTAGATAGCGGTGGAAAATGAGTGGGAGAAATTTTGCATTATTGATTCGGTATCGAACAGGGAACCAATTACATTATGAATACGTAATATGAATACAGAATGAATACACGAAATCAGCCCCACGAAATGTTTGGCTATCAGTAAGTACATAGCTCACTCCGAACGTCTTGCACTTCATAAAAGCAAAGTGTGTGTCATACTGGAAAATTTTGTGAGAGGATTTCTACCAAATTTTCCATGAATGTACTCTCCCAACTTTTGGCAACAAATAGCGAATCATGTATGCATATTAGATAAGTGGGTTGGACAGCTTAGCGACGACGGAAATGGAATTATACTTTATTTTAATGTACTCTCAAGTTATTTATGATCGTGTATTGTATGAAATTGATTTTTTTTTCTATTAATGCGATTGTCGTTGGCTTGTTGGTTATCCAGTTTAAGAAGTTCAAGGTCCATACGTATCTAAGTACATATCGTGGGTAGTAGAACTTTCTCCTTGTGGGAGGAAACTGTCATTCACAGACAGAGTTTTGCACATATAAAGTGGTTTTGTTCCTTGATGGAATGACTTGAATTCGTCCTCTCTCGAAATAATAATGGTCGTGGTGGTGCTTACTGTTTTATGTGTTTGTCATCTGGAGAAACCTCTCGTGCTGAGCTGAGTGTTCTCATCAATCTCAAATATTTGATTTCCATTGAATATTCAAAACCGATTGTCATTACGGCGCCCTTGACAAAAGAAGCAGATGACGTGGATTGGGTGAAAAATATAATCATACGGCAGTAGCAGTAGCAGTATGTATGTACATGCATATTTATTTATGCAAAATGCACACGAGGCACACTTTTATACCCATCATTTCGATAATCAATACATACACATGTCCCTACCCACCAGCAAAGCAAAGTATACATAAATCCTCAATAAACAATAGTTACTCAGACCAGACGTAGATACGTAGGATCGAAACTTGGGCCAAGTTCATGTGTCAAACTTTGTTGTCAGTCTTCCTGATAATTTGGCTGGCTTAGCAGAGAAAATGGAAATCGATTCTGGACACAACCCAAAAATTCCGCTCTCTCCCAAGACACAAACTTTAGTTTAATGACGAAATCTAAAAATTCTGAACATGCGGGGAGACCATATTTCATTAATTATTGTCATCACTTAACCACTCAGGGAGAAAGTAGAAAGTTTACTTAACGGAGAGATCATTACGGTTAGTTTAGTGGTCACATTTATCAAGTAGTCATTCGAAGACAGGAAACCCGTTGCATAATCACGTCCGTGCATAATTTAAATTAAACTCGACTTTTGTCCGTGCTTACTTGTCCCATCGAGCATCCTCCTCGATAATGCACACTTGAGGTACTCACATAATGTATATTTACACGTAGAACCATTCCTATTACAACCTACGAACGAACGTCCGTTGATAGTCTGGGGACGGACTCAGAGGTCGGATTAGTCTGACTTGCTCAACATTCCAATCACGTTCCGCTGATTGTAGGAAAGTTCTCCTCTTCAAGTAAGTGGAGTGGAGAAAGTTATTACACTTACTCAAATATCCAGTCAGTCCAACTTTTATCGAGCGAAACGAGCTGCTCAACTTTACTCTTCTGCTTCCTTGTTCGTGAGACTAACAAGATTGCAACCAATACAATTCACAAACGACGACTTTATTGTTGTACATTTGTTCTCAAATATCTGAGGAATTCTCATCATGTTGTTGCTGCATATTTTCAATAGATGGATGGATAGATGAGATTAATGTCGGAGGGAGAAAGCCATCCATCCAGCAGTAAACTAAATGGGAAAATCTTCACAATTTATTATTGCAGTGGTGCAAGACTTTTTTTTGAGTATTGCAGTGGAGGAATCATATCCACTGAAACATAAAAAGTCAAGAATAAAGACTTTCTCTTCTCGAATGAGAGTCGTACATAGAGCTCGAAGACATTTGCACTAATACATAATTTGTTATGAGGGAGCAAAAGAAGACAATGCTGGCTGCCTGTCGTCGTAACGTGCAGCATCAATTCAGACACTTTCCCTTGGCTTGGTCAATATGAGAGGGTAATGCTGCCAACTACCCGGGGAGACCAAGAATAGAAATACTAACATGACAAAAAGCAGGACGGGATGCACTTTCAGTTTTATTTTTATACTCAGACTCAAAGAGGAAGAATAAAAGGGAAAGTTTTCGCAGACTCGACAGCTCCCCGGCAGAGAGAGAAAAGAGGAAAAGAAAGAAAGTATGAGAAAGTCGGTCATGTCGTCCTTCTCGTGTCAGATATTGTCCCAATCTCGACACAGTAGCAGATTTACATTCCACTTGGCTGGCTCGTGGTCGTGCTTGGCAGGATCCCAAGCAACGCGAAATGGACAGACTGCATGAGTGGTCCTCCTTCCTTTTCATTCTGGTGATGAAAGTAGGAGGTGAAAGCACGAATCTCCAGCTTAAACAGTATAAATTATAATGACTAAAAAAGGAGGAAAACTTGGGAGATGTTGTTGACACTTTAATTTCAAAAGTATGTCGAAATTCTGCAAACTCTTCTCCGTAATACGGTTAAAAGATTGTCATTAGTTTTCCCTCTTGCACAATTATTGTTTTACTTACAGCTGGGCAAATATGTTCCTTGATGATGAAATTCTGCACTTTCACCCAGTTTATTTCATAAGAAAGTCTCCTTGGGAGAGAATTCCTGCCAGTTGTGTTAATTGATTTCTTTCTGTTGTGCATGGTGTCGTGGGGTGGAGAAATAACGGAGGAGGTGACACGCGGACAGAGATAATGCCACCATGTCTTATTGTTCTGCAGTATAAATCCCACCCGAATGACCAAAAGAAGTGACATATCGCTCATTACTTATTTCTTATTGTTTTTTTTATGTTTTCAGATCGTGGACAATATCCTGAGCTACTTGGACCTCCCAGAGTTGAGATATAGTCGGCTCGTGAATTCCCAGTACAATGAGATCGCCGCACGCCACTTGGGACGAAAGGAAGTCATAACCTTTAACAAGATGTCACATTTATCCTCTTACCTGGCCCTTATGTCCACCATCCCAGCCACGATAAATGCGACGACGATGACCACCATCTCCGGAGAAGAGGAAGATGAGCACATAACTGAAATGGACGAACAATTGCTGCTGGGCGAACAACAACAACAAGACAATAAAAGTGGAGCTATTAAGAAAAAGGAGAGAAAACATGTCGTTCCCATTAATCCTACCACCAACGCGGCACGAATCCTGTCTCATACCAACTTTCACTTCAACTTTGACCCCGATAATTCCAATCTCGACGAGGAGACGGGAATTCTGGAGACTTTCTTTGACACAATGGGTCAGAAAATAGTTGATCTGAAATACACCACGGATCTGATCCCTCTCAACTTTCCGAAGCGGCTACCCCATTTGGGAAATATATGGAAGGGACGCGTCCCAAGTTTGGAGACGCTTCGTCTAGAAATTAAGTGGGGGTGTCCGGAATCCTTATTCGAGAAGGATGATAACCACAACAACGACGATGATAACTCCGGGGTTATCTTGTCCTCGGTGAAGAAGTTGGAGTTGGACATTCTCGTGACGGAGAGGGACGCGGACCGGGTGAAAGTCTTCTTGGCCGAGTTACTCTCGGCGACGCCAAATCTGGAGGAAATTAGCATTCCGGGGTCTAAAAAGTTTTTCGACGACTACATCAACGTTCTCTTGGGTCGGCTCATTCTTTCCATGAATTTGCCCAGACTTTCCACCCTCAACTTTTGTCTTGCCTTCAATCCCGGCCAAATGGTGGAGTTGGCCACGAAGAACTTTCCGCTCAATACTGTTATCTTGGACTTTGCAGAGATCCACCACTTCTCATTTCCGGTAGGTTTATGTAATCATAGTATTTAGGAAAGATAACCACGTTGATAACGCAAATAATGACAAGCTTCCCATCATTTTGTAAACTATGTAAATATATTAAAAAAATGATGAGAGTAAGAAAAAAGATGGAAATGAGATTTGCAGGGAGCACTTACTTTTTATGGGGTACAATTTTCTCAGCAATCTCACTTTTTGCACAGTATTATCAATATTTTTGCAAGCTCGTTTTTGTGCGATCATCCGATCCATGCTTATGTAAATAGACTGTCGTCATTAAATTCATGACCCATTTTCCGAGTTATCCGCTATCTCTCTCTAACTTTCTCCTTCTTATGTTCCAGAATCAGAACGTTATTTTGGAGCGGTCTCTTGAAATCCTTTTCGCCCAGACGGCTACCACGTTGAAGACGCTTCACTTGTGTTTTCCCTACATTCCGGAGCATCCCCTGCATCGCTTCACTTTTCCCGAACCGATGACCAACCTTAAATATTTGGCACTCGGCAGATTTTATGGCTCGATCTCTATCCTGAACAAGTACGTACAAATTAATTTATCCGCAAAATAATATGATAAGTACATACTTATTTTGACCTTTGACCTATCAATGCAGGCTTCCAAAGTTGAAGAAGCTTGATTTATGGAGTGTACGATTTCACGACTTTAACCACGAACAGCAAAAGTCGTCAGAAATGTGCAAGGAAATTTTCGCCGTGCCCACCCAGTACCTGAGCATTACGACTGTGATAAGTTGATTAGGGTCGTTAACTAGTAAACCTGAACAAGCCGAACAAGATGGACGACGAGGCGTTGTAGAAGACGGAGGAGGAGGAGAAAGTGATTTTAGTCCTCAATGTATTTTGCTCTTGTAGTCATACATAAAACGTTTGTCAGTAAATTATAAATCTGTCACTAAAAATATGATACATTTCCCGTTTCGAACTAAACAAATATATCCGCGGACACTCGATAATTAATTGATTATTTAGTCGTTGTGATGTTTTTTTAAGTTTTGTAGAGTATCACACTCATTCGTTAGTTAGTTAAATAGTGGACGACCGTACATATTTAGCTCCATACAGTTATCCAGATATCATTGTCTAAACAAAAATTGTCCAACCATTAACTAAGATAATACATATTCTCGCCTTCTTCAAATCAAGGTTCATGATAATACGTACATACATACATCAAATTAATTAACTATCAAATGTGTAGAATAGTTATGACTGTTACTCCAAGAAATTCTTCTTTAAAATCTTCAAAAAATAAAGTCTCGAACAAAATATTGCTCGTCTCACTAGCAAAAAAAATACAGAAAAAATATAATATCGTCTCGCCACCCTATAAATTCTACTCCAAGACACGTGAACAAATCATATAATAATTGTGATGTACTCCAACAATAAATAAATGAAAATGTTAACTGGATCATACATAATTTTTGGGTACATTTATTTTATCAACGTCATAAGTTATGTAGCAGTAGCACAAAACCTGTTAAAATCAATACTCAAGTCAATTGAGTATTCGAAATGTAGCACTTGACAGCTTTGGCTTAAAGGTATTAACTAACATGATAATTTAAACAATTTTGGTGTTGCAACAACATTACAATCTGAGGTAGCTACATAAAGCTCTCCAGGTCAATCCAATTCAATAAATTAAAATACTAACTAACTAAACTGTATAACATGTATTATCATATTTAGTAATATCTGCGTACCACAATTTTCAAATATTTTCAGTCAAATCAAACTCACTTTCACTAAAAACAACGGCAACTTTTCCGATATCATAAATACATTTATAACTAGAATCACAACCAAACAAATCAAGTATTTTTAAGAATTATCGTCTAAACTTTGGTATCAATTGCATCCCTTGTCCCATTTGGACTCATTCCATGGTAGATAAATATAATATCGAGAAAAGTATTTTAAAAAACACAAATTATATGATTAGGTTTTGTTTGTAAAACGATATTTAACAATGGAAGGCATTACCGGGAGGAAGTAGAGTCACCGAACGCGTAGCATTATAAAGTTTTGCAGTAGCAATAAATGTAAATGTAAAATGAAAACGGATAGGAAAACTTAACATTTAGAACAATAAGCTTGTTAGTACGTAAAAAAATTGTTATTATGCAAACAGCTACCTTATTCAACTCCAAGTTGTGAATATTAATTTGTATGTAGCTTTAGGAAGCAAACATGCCACTTGACTGTCAAATTGACACCATGAAAAGCAATCTGACGACTTCGTCACCACAAACGTATTAAATGACAAGAACTTTTGTAGTGTAGTTGTAAATGGTCGTAAACGGTATCTCTAACCGTCGCCAGTTGAGTGATTTAGGCGTTATTTTCGCCTAAAAAATCTTACGATTAGTTCAAAATACATCTCGACTTGGACGTAGTCTTACTTAGTCAGTACAAATATTAATTATCCTAGGCTCAAAGTGATCAATCAATATGCGTTGATCAGTCAATAACTTAAAAGTATACCTAATGCTCCAATAAGTATGTAACACATTTTACCTAAATTGGTAGATTTGGACATTTTTCTCAGGTATATGTTTGAGATTTAGGGACTGAAACCACTCTGAACTTCGATGATAGTAATATCCTTCGATTGTAGAATCTGATTTGGTAAAGCAAATGTAGTAGAAGCCGGCAAAGCTTGCCCCCGAGATGTCTTTTATGGTGTGATCCTACATGCATAATTAATATTTCATTACAAATTGATCTCCACAAATTATTTTGGTATTTGCAAAGTAAATTCATACCGGAACCAAAAAATGCTCTTTCCACCGCATAAAGACATAGTCTGACCTCTTGAGGGATTCACAGTCAAAGGTATCAGAGTTGAAAGTTTTTGAGAAATGGCTGAAAGCACTATATGAAAAATAAACATATTGTTACATACCGATTCATACGACAACTACACGATAATAAACACCCACCTAAACTTTGCCCAATGTTTACGGTCGACTTCTTCGTCCGCATCCCATTTTCGGGTTAGAAAAGGATTGTTCTTGTTAATGATTTCTCCATCGAAAAATGTTGTGAGGGTGGGATATTCGTCGGTAAGCCCTTTTATTTTGAGATATCCGCACAAGTACCCTTTGTCTTCGTCGACATGCTAAAATTCAGGAATCGACAAATTATTTATTGACACTCATCAGAATTAAGGGCGCTTTAAAAATTGTCTCACCAAAAGGACTACTTCCACATCGTACTTGTTCCCTTTGGATTTTTGGTGTCCTTGGAATCTGGAACCATTATAAAGGAGGGAACTGGGTGCACCCGACTGTTTCGAATTGGCTGGAGGAGATGGGTCCAGAGTATTATCCACTTTGTGTGGCATCTTTCTCATCGGCAGCAGCAACGCCAAGTAATATTTGGCGTTTTAGCGTGCTTGGGAGATCAATTTCTGTTATTTGTGTATGACCGGGCCGGATTTGAACAGTCTGCACAAGAACAATTCGAGATTATGTAAAATTTGCATAGAAATCACTAATTCCAGCTCAGTTATTTTTGACGAAGTCCCAAGAAAGCTAATTTTCAAGATGCTAATAATTTTACACGTGTCCTACAAAAAAGTTTTCAACTATAAATTTTCACAAATTACAAAGCTATCTTCAACTACAAATTTGCACTTTACACATAATCTTAAAATAGTCTCACTTCCTAAACGGAATATTTTATCTCACCAAACTACAAATAGTGAAAGTACGAATAATTAACACGTACGACGTGGAGCTCACACTTTACTTCAAGTTTGACGAATCTGCTGCATTTTGGGATTTTTATGAAACCACTTTTCCACCTTATCTCTCATCTCTATATATTTTACGACATCATCACCACCACCACAAACAAATATTTTAATTAATACGCACAATTCGACTTATCATCTATGTATGTACGGATGTATAAAAAACTGTCTACCAAGTCTACCTACCTACTAAAATAAGTCAGAATAAATAAAATCAACCATGCATAGTAAATCAGTATCTCTCATTAGTATGGATTATGCATGTATGTACATAATATCCACTACTGCAGACAGTTTTATTCAGTCAATGAACCAATATAGCGATACCAATAATAAGTTAATGCACTTTAATCAGCTTCAAAATATTTCATTTCAACTGCTGGCGTTAGTCTTCCTTGTATTAATTTTGTAACGACTTTGCAACACTATTAAATACAATTGGTTTGGTAACACCGCACCACACAACTCAGATTAACTTTAACTTATAACTAACACCATTAACAAATGAGTTCGAGTTATCTATCGTACTTCACCTCAACGAACATGTGGCATGTGTAGCTTAAAGTGCAACTCTTATATAATTCCATCAATTTCTTAATTGTTTCTCCAATCTCGCCATTCACTAATAATTAAGCACAGTTTGTTTACAATAAAACAGTAAAATTAAATGCCAAATTGCAAAAAAAGCCTTTAAAAGGAAGGAAATGAGTGGGCATAAAATCAATGAACAATATTTTGCTGAGTGGTCACTAATGTAAATGTCCAACTTACTTAAAAAACGACCCACCAACCGACCAACCGATGATTTATGACAATATTTGTCTCCTTTCAGCTGTCCCGATAGTTTATTTAACACTTTTATGATCAAAGTTGAAGCTCCTTTAATGAAAATAATAACAATACAAAAGACGACTTCGTGTCCATGTATAATAAGAACAGCAGCTAAAAGGAAATGTGGATGGTATGCGTAGGTATCCAATACGACGAGGTTTTTTAACTGCACTTCGTCGTGTGGTATGAAATGGTGTGAACCTGCTGTACCACGGAAAGTAAATGGCCGAGATCATCCAAATAAAAGGATGGGATTCTTATGCCACGACTACGCTCTACACAAAATCACGAGAAGAGAGATGCCATATAAATGGATGGTGAATCCAGAAGTTGTGTTTTATTTAGCAAAATGATAAAAAAGTATTTTACACCGAACAAAATACATATTTTGAGATTTAGATTTCATCAAGTTTTGAAATTTTTACGCCTGAGTGTGAACAAACATTTAACTATTTTATTATATCGAATTTAATCTAAAATTGAGTTTTTGGCGTCGAACTTTAACTATTTTTTTTACTTTCTCTGCTGCTTTCTCCCATTAAAATGTAAATGTGCTGCTCTTATTTTTGAAATATTTAACGTGATTTAACCAAATCTGAAATGAAATTCATCGACCATGCACCACAATCTGACACTCCTTGATATTTCCCCCCACGTAATGACCTTCTCACGAGAAGAATTACGTAATCAGTAACATCAGCGGCTGGAACGTGTCACGTACTGTACTGGTCTCTTTAGTTTTTTGCATTTATCTCATGTTTTTAACGATGAAACTAGTAATCAGCGAGTGAATTGCAATCACTAATCACGCACACTGTGCAGAAGAAAATGCTCTCTTTTAATAACGGAGGTTGTTGGTACGTGATTTGGTAAATCCGATGGTTTGAAGCAAGGGCCCGAGTTGTGTAAACGCAGGAACGAGTTACTTTTGCAGCACTCTCTGCGAGTTCGAATCCTCTCAAAGCCATACCACCGTCTATAAAAATGAAATAATGTTACAAAGACACTATAAAAAAGTTATATAAGCTACGTTAAAGAAAATGACAAAATACTATAACAGTTAATCTACGATATAAAATACACATAAAAAGTAAACCAAAATTTAAGAAAGGCTGGGGTTGAACTAAATAACGGGAGCAATTTTTTGGAAAGCTTGTACAACTGGGGATGAAGAATAGGTTGCAAAAAATGGTGCACATTGATTTCATGCAGATTTCATGCATTTTTCTGGAGAGATGAGAAAATGAGATGGAACAATGTATTGGACGAATGTGTGCGTGATGAAGTGAATTAAATGTTAGTTTGATACTTTAATTGTAATGGATTCGACACTAATCACTTGCTGACACTAATCGCTTGTTGAGATTTAAGTAATTTCATACTCATCCCGTCAGCACGTAACATTTTGGTAAGAAATTAAACTCGGTAAAGTCTCAAGGTAAGTAAGAATATTTAATAATAGTCGAGTTGAACTTTCCTGGAAAGCCTGCAATTTGCAACAATGGATCCATGTATTTATGTACAATGGAATGACAACTGGATGAAAATTGCACATTGCAATAATTTCTTACATACATATTCCAACTCTACTTGGAGCAAAAAACGTTGAAATTAATTTTTGATGTCTTGAATATTTGATCATTTTTCCAGGAATTATTTACTCCTCGTAAATTTCACACCTCATCACAGATTAAAGTCGGACCACGGGTGGTGTCGGGATTAGGATTTTTTTACTCCAAGTTTAATATGGCATTATTATTGTCGCAGTTTCGTTTCGCACCAGAATTGATGAAGGTCCACTTTATAATCTTGAATCATTATGGCTTCGTTGTCTACCTTGACTCTTGCTCTCTAAATGTGTATAAAGCTACCTTAACGCATATGGATAATACAATATTTCCACAATAACAAGTAATAAATAAATTGATCGTAAATCATCATCATCATCTTCGTCACTGCTTAAAATATATGAACACTAATAAATCACGGCAGGTGAACAATCATGCATAAAAACCATGCATCTTCTTCTTCACCTTACACGCCATTATTTTTACATAATTTTATGCCGCTTGTCTAATTTTGCAATTGTGCATATTCCACGAGGCTGGACGGACGGACGGAGATGCATGCGTACTAATCTGTAAGACAAGTTTGTCCTGTCCACTCTATTGTTTTTTTGTTGCTATGCTGGGATGCCGTGGACCACTACGGCTACACATGTACTTAAATGCTTATTAGCGTCATTACAGATTCCGGCCCATATAAAGACGAGGGGACGCTTATTGTTTGCGATAAAAAGGTGAGACACTGGATCACTGTGTCTTCACTTGGTCGCGAATACTTCAGGGGACACATCTCTCGAAGGAAATATGGCAAAATTAGTACTAATTTCTCTTCTTGTCGTGTTAGTTGCTGCAGTTCAAGCTGCACCGATTGACAAGTTGACGTTAAAGTTCAAAATTTCGGCGAGGTGATGATTCAACTTTTTTTTTAATGATTTAGTGTATTTTTGAGTTATAATAAATCAAGTTTTCCTGAAACAGGGATTTGCCAGATAAGGACGACCTGGGAACTAGTGATCCTTACGTTGAACTCTCTTATACGGAGGATAATGCCAAAGAGGAGACAAAACTTGGGACAACTTCAACCTTGACGGACACAGAGAACCCTGGTAAGAATTAATCAATTTCTTTAAATTACAAAGTGACGTACATAAATCTTGATTTAATTAATTTTAGATTGGGGCGATGTCTTTACTTTCGAGTTTGTGAGGTCGAAACGTCAGAGATTTACTCTTCGCTTGTACGACGAGGATAATTTGAGAGGTTGTGAATATATTATTCTCGTAATTAGGTGACAAAATCATAAAATGGTACTTCATTGCAGAGGATGACAAAATTGGTCAAGTGTACGTCGACGTTGCAGATTTTGTAGATAAGGGGCAACATCTTAATGCGAATTTGAACAAGAAAGGGTGCGTTTTGCATAATCATGATAAGATGTGTAAACAGCTAAATAATTTTTCATGCTAATTTATAGTTATGTAATTCTCGAAACGGTGATTCCTGTCGTGACCCCAGCACCACCCGTGCAAAATACTCCCATCGCCTCCATCCTGCCTGTCACACCCACGCCCGCTGCAGTGCTCGCCGCACAACAACAAAGCTTGCCCCTTAATGCTAATACACCGACCAAGCTGCAATTTAAACTCTCTGCTAAAGATTTGGCCAATAAGGACAAAACCGGAGCTAGTGATCCGTTCGTGGAAGTCCTATACACGGAAGGAGAAAGCTCTAAGCAGAAGAAATTAGGCATTTCTGAAATCATTCAGGACAACAATAATCCAGTTTGGACTAAAGTATTTGAATTTCAGTATGATCCAGCTAAAAATCAGGTTAATTTTTAAAACGTGTTTAAAAGAAAATTGACACAGTATGTGAAATTGACACTTACCTTTTCAGAAATGGTTTTTCGAAGTGAGAGATTCTGATGGTAGCGATTCTGATGGGCTCGGTGAAGTTTGGGTGGATGTCAAGGATTATGTGACGAAAGGGCAGAAAATTACGGTCAACATGGTCAAAACTGGGTAATTTTCATAGTCATCCCCGTCATCATGTCATCTTCGTCCAGCTTTTCTAAACTCGTAAAATTTGTCATTTTCTAGTTTGTTAACTATTGAAGCACCCACACCAATCAAGCCGGTCGCACCACCACCCCCACCCACCAAAGCTACGGCCCCACCTCCCACAAAATCAACTCCGTCACCCATTGTAGATCTGAGATTCAAACTTTCCGTCAAGTGTGTACGAATTGTGATTGTAATTTGATTTTTGGCAACATACATTTTCATACATTTTCTTAAATTATAGGAACGTTGAGGACAAAGATATCCTAGGAACGTCTGATCCTTACATTAAGGTTTATACACAGACGGGCTCAGAGAAAGAAGTATTTGTTGGAAACACTCAAAAGTTTCAGGATCTCGAGAGTGTCGAATTTCCAGATATTTACACATTTACGTACAATCCAGCAGTGAAATCTGTAAATTATACTTTCACTATTTAAACTCTACATCTTGGTAAATATTATAATTTCACTTGAACATGTTTTTCTAGACATTCCGCTTCCTGGTTTTGGACGAAGACGACAACCGTTCCGACGACGAGCTGGGAAACGTGTCTTGCGACGTTGCAGAGTATGTTAAAAGTGGGCAAGATTTAACTCTCAGCTTGAAGAAGGGGACTCTCACCGTTAGGAAAGCGTATTGATGTGCATTTCGCTTCACAATTATTGTGCATAACTTCCAAACTTTCGAAAATATTTCAATTTTTCTTCGTAGATTTTTGAAAATGAGGGCAAATAATAGCACCCCAAAGCTGGACAAAACAATAAAAAAATTTTCTTAAAATTTCCACTAAATACTCCATGCATGCACATCTATATGATTGTATTTACGAAATCAACAATTAAAATTCTTGAATAAATAAGAAAATGTAAAAAACAACGTTTTCTGCAAATGTTTGTTCTGTCAGGATAATAATTTAATAATAATTTAATGTATGGAAAATCTTGGAGCTTTCACCACTAGCCGGATCTTTTATTTTCAAAGTATTTGTGGCTTGAATTTTACTTACGTGGTGAACCATTGTCAACCTATGACTGTTATGAAATTCATCTCCGATTTGGGAGTAAAAACGAACGACAGATACAATAATTGCAAGAGTGAGATATAAGCAAAAGTTAATTGAAGAATAGGGAAAATTGTGGAGGGTGATATCTGTAAGTTTATTCCTTGAACATATTTAAATTTAAAAAAACATTTAAGGTGCCAGAATTTACCTAAACCTAAAAATGGTAGGATTTGCCTCCTTGATTTTAGCTTAACATCTTAAATATTGTCATCTTATGATTCAGGCCGTATTTAGAAACCTCTCTTAAGTTTAACCAACCCCCAGAATCAACGATCGGACATCCGAGCTCCTAAAAAACAGGGATCGTTAATTTAATTCGTCTACCTAAATAATAAAGCGTCGTCGTCTATCGTCAACAGTCCAAGCATATTAACGCTCCCCCAATGAGGGTGGACAAAGAGATGATAAAAACAAGGAGATAAAGATAAAGAACAAAAAAAGACAGGTCGTGGCTCCAAGAAATTACCGCAAGTCGATGTCGTCACTGAAATTATTGGTAGAATCTGACTGTGGATTTCGGAGGCGTCAGGCTAAACTGAAAGCCCACAGGTTGGACCAAAAATAATTTCACCTTTTTTAAGTTCTGAAGGTGAACGACCCACAATGGTAGTAAACTTTGGTTATTTATTGGTGGTGATGCGATGTGAGCTAAATGATTGGAATTTGTACATTGCAATTTAAACACACTTTTTTAGTACTTATACTTATGTGCGTATGCATACATACATATCAGCATATATAGGTACATACTAATATACATATGTAACCAGTGATGATTACTCACATGAATGAACTATACTTTATCTGTCAAGGTCGCCTACGCTGTCCATCAGTTCGTTAAGCACATATGTGCAGTGAAAATAGTGTGCAATGAACTACCTTCAACTCAAGAAAAAACTATTGTCAATGACGCTATCATTGTATATCTCGTTGCGTCCAACCATACATATAATCAGGGCGTCACTTTTTTGCGGTATGTATGCCAAAATATCTTATTCAGCAAAACTCACTACAATACGGTTCAACGACCATCCTTGAGTAAAAATGTGTATATAAAGCCACGCAGGTTGTTAACCTTTCAGTCATGTGTTCACAAGTCAGCCGAGTGCAAGGAATATACATAAATCTCCTGTAAAACTTACATCCACCATTTCGTAGGCGCATAACGTATTTACCATGTCAGCCCCGGACGTAATTCCCAAAGTTCCCGTATCTAAGGAGGATGTGACCCTGGCCTGGCTGAGGGCAGTATTTTTCCCGGCTTATCAAGTAAAGTCCTTCCAATGGAACGGAGAAGCCAGCAATGGTCACGGCCAGATGAGTACCCTCGAGAGGATCAGCCTCGAGCTGGAGTCTGGCGAGATGTTGAACATCATCCTGAAAACGTTACCCCCGGAAGGAAGCGTTTTTCGAAATATTACAGTACGACACGGCTTTGCTCAGAGGGAGCTCCAAATGTACACGGAATTATTTCCCGTTTGGGACGAGTTTCTAGAGGTCAGAAATGTACCGTCCAGTTTTCGCTATCGTCGCCCCAAATGTTACTATGCTGCATCTAACAACATATCCAAAGCAATCCCAAGCAATCCGGAAAGTTATCAACAAATCTTAATTCTGGAGGATTTGATAGCCACCGGGTTCGAAATGTGGCCAGAAGGTTTCGGGAAAAGCTTGAACTGGGACGAAGCCAAACCCTGCATTCGTCTCATGGCGTTATTTCATGCTGTGTCATTGGCCTACGAGAAGGTGAATTTGGATGATGCTAAGAGCTACTACGGCATGGTCCCTTTGCTCGATCACCAATCGATCAATCCGAAGGATATGATGGAAATGTTCTTCAACAGTGGATTTGACACCATTCAAAAGCTGATGAGAGAATATGCCGACAAAGCCGTGGATGAACAAGTGGGGTCACAAATCCCATCAGGGCTTCCACTCCATGCAATGCCAACCGGACTTATGGAGCATTTGGAGATACTGCGAGACAACGCTTACGAAAATCTCCAGTTTCTGACACCAAATGCGGACCAGATGGGGGTCGTGGCTCATAATGACTTGCACGTCAACAATTTCATGTTCCTGAGTGACAAACATGAGAATTTGAAGAATGGTGAACATCCCGTGGTATTTTTTGATTTCCAGGTATGCCTTCTTGCAAAGTGATATTTAATTTACGTACTTCTAAGGTTTTCAGACATAAATATTTCCGCTCTTATTTGGTAATATATACGTACGTAATTTTTTAAAAATACATATATTTTGTAAATATTTCAGCTTTTTGAGACGAAATTTTTTTGCTCAAAGAAATTGGATCACAAAAAATCCAGAGCATTATATTCATAAATACACATTTTGTGAAAATTCTTATTCGTACATATTTCATAAATATTTCGCCGTTTTTTCGTAAATAGTACGTACATATCTGCGATTTTGCATACCTACATATTGCTCTCTGATCATAATTATACTAATGCGAATATTTGTTGTAGGCGTGCATGTGTTCCATGCCCACGAAGGATTTGTCATTCTTTCTCATCCAAAATTGTGAAGAATCCATGCTCACGGCGGGACTAGAGGAGACGTTGCAATATTACCACAGAGAGCTGCAGGCGGCCATGGGCGCCATGGGGATGGCTCTGGAGGAGTACACGCTGGGCCGGGTGAGGGCAGAGTACCACTCCATGGCCTACCTCAGCATGCTGCACATCATTGCGGGGGGCGGCGTCATATTCAACGAAACTGCTCCGGATGACTCCAAAAGACGATTTTACAACAGATTGGTCAAAATGTACACGAATGATCAATTGAATTTTGTCGTCTTTCCCAAAACTGGGGATTCGCAAAATTAATCTTTATTAAGGTTATGAAGTGAATTGAAATATTAATACCAAAATAAAGCTAATAAATAAAGCTCTCTCCCACCCAATGTCAATTCGTATGGTTTCTGATTTAATTTTTTTTTGCATGCAAACAAAACCTTCGCTCACGAGGAAAATCGTCTGTGAAACTAAATGTGAGAAGCTATTAAGCTAATTGCATAATTGGGAACAGAATAACTCTAATGTAACTAATACGTGAATAGCAATTTATGATTTCAAGAGACAAGTTAAATATATTGTTTCATATGAGTTAAATAACAAGTACTCCAAGAAATATGTATATATATAACGCATTCCATTTTATTTAATAAATTACTATCGGAATTTAAATCGTGACAGGGCGAACAAGTAATTAAAAGTGACTACAATACAACTACAACATCTCAACAGAATGGATATCCCAATGTTTCGAGAACCCATGCATGTCAAACAGCTTAGTCAAATATTTCGCCGAAAGTCTTTGAATCCTGTGCTTCAACGGGTTATCAAATTTGACTTGGTGAAGACCATACGAAATCGTGAATCCGTTCTCCCATTCCCAACTGTCGATCAGCGTGCCTGGCAAAAACCCGACGACGTTGCACTTGTCAAGAATCACAGCCTTGAGGATCTCGCTGCTCAGCGCTTTGAAGTACTGGGTTCTCTTGAGGTCGACCAGACTCGTGATTTCTGCCCCAATCAAGGGATACCCCTTCCCACAAAGGAGCACTTCAGGGTTGTTGAGATCAGTCTTAATCGTGTTGAGAACCACCCGGGTATTGTTCAGGTTTGGGAGACTGTTCCTCTTCTGGGCGAGACTTCCGGTTCCGCGGATTTCTGCCAGCGTGAGTTCAGAGTGGAGGTCTTCGTTCGTCAGGTCGACAAAGTCTGCGCAAGTCTGTTTGATCTCTTCCCAACAGATTGAACCATAGTCGGCCGACGCGTTCGGGTTGAAATTTGTTCTCAACTAAACAATAAAAATTGGAAAATTAATAAAATGCAAGAAAATAAATTGATTCAGAAAATTGTTTTCCAGAAATGAATTCTTACCTCAGTACAACTCGCAAAATCTGGCACTGCAATTTCATCCTTGCAAAAGTGTCTTTCTGACGTGGAAATGCACTTTGAATTGATTGAGATCCCCACACTGCCACCTTGTCTTCTACGGAATTCCTTATTGTAGATTCGATAAGCGATGGAGTGAGCTTTCAACAAATTTTTGAACACTTTCAGTGGAGTTCCTTTCTTCCATCCTTGCACATTTGGGGGATGAACCCCCGAGCCGAAGCCACACTCGCTGTGCTTCCACGGATCGTGGATCGCAATCCATCTCTTTACACGGCTTCCGAACGTCTTGAAACAGAATTGGGCATAGTTTCCGAAAGCTTTGATCACATTTTTGTCCATCCAGTTGAGCGGGTGGCGTTCAAAGAGTTCTTGGGGAAAGTCCCAGTGATAGAGGACGATGATGGGCTCGATCCCATTTTTTAGCAGGGTGTCAATCAAATTGCTGTAATAGTCGACGCCAGCCTTGTTCACTTTGTGCGTCGTTCCGTCAGGAAGGAGGCGAGACCAGCTTAAGGAAAATTTGTAACAAGTTGCCTGTAAAATTAACAACTCATTAAAATTTGCAAAATTATTCAAATTGGAAATTTGCACTATCTTTCAAATGACTTACATTCATATTTTTCAGAAGGAGGACATCCTCCGTGAATTTATTATAGGAATCAGCCCCCTCTTCAGGTGGGGACTGATCCAGCGTGGTGGACCCCTTCCGACTGCTCGAGTCCCACCAGGACATCGTTCTCCCATCAATATTCCAGGCGCCCTCGATCTGCGTCGCGGACGAGGTGCTTCCCCACTTAAAGTTTTCAGGAAACTGTTCGAAAAAGTCGTGGTTATTGTGACTGTGTTCTTCCTCCGTTGGCACAGGCATGGTAGAAATTTTATTAAACAATTTTCTACTATTTTTCACTTTTAGTTAGTAATAATGGCACACAAAAATATGCACGTATTCGTAATTTCTTGCTAGAAATTAGTTCTTCACTCGATCACTGCTCTAGTGAGTCTGACTCGATTGCATGCAAGTGAACCACTTAAATACATACACATAAGACTTGATCATGTCAATAATAATAAGTGAAGAGTGTATAATAAACAAGTTATTAAATAAATGTACATTCTGGTGAGACGTGGGGGATTCCTGGTCCGCATTTCATTTCAGCTTTACTCCATGATGAACAAATAAACAGGTTCTTCATCATTGGCAAATTTTTTTATGCGAACTGCGAGCTCCTGCTGCAATACTTTCCTCAATTAAGACCACGCTAAAGCGAAGTAGATTATGTATGTATGTATGGATGGATTTTGTTCTCGATGGATTAAGTAAATGTATGTCTCAACACAGCGGAAAAGTTCACAGAACTGACTGTGCATAATAAGATAAGTAAGTGTATAGAAATAATGTGGGAATTTTGCACAGGAGGCAGATTCGTGATTGCGTTTGATTCGATTAATTGATAATGCAGTTTGCGGTGTGTGAGATCATGCGGAGGGGAAATTTTGTGTGCGAGATTGTGCATATGAACCCAGTTTACTTATCCATAGATAGAATCAATGCACTTTTTAGTATTTATTTATCTAGTACAGACTTCTCAAACTTCTGTAAAGATTGCTGTTGAATTTATCCCAGTGCGACAATTTTGTCACGTATTGATTGACGTAAAAAGTAAAAATATCTCCGCAAACGGCGAACAGCGAGCTATCATTTGTTGCATATTAAAAATATGAAAGGTCGTCGTTTCCGGCAATTCTAATAACATGATTATCGTTGTAAAATTGGAAAGTACACAAGTACGTAAGTCACCACACCACGCGAAACAATAATGCATCTCGTGCTGCTGCCAAGTCGTAGTTTTCCCGATGGGATGCAAAAAAATGTGTCTAATTGATATAAGAATTACTCGAATAGAAACACTAGCATCCATACAATTCAATGATTTATCGCCATAATGAAAACAATCTCATTAACATTTTCATTACTGGGGTAAAATGACGTCAAGAAATCCTTGTGTTTTCACGAGGCGTCACTTCAGCCACTCATGGGAATTAACTACACTGTTGACTCTTAATTCGTAGGAATTGGTAGGTAGGCCGCAGAAAATGAACTTGAGCCGTAAACCGGTTCAGCAACTGCTGCTTCGTTGGGAAATCCCCTCAAAAGATAATTTTCCTTTGGATAATAATACCAATTTGATTGACAAGGAGCAACCTTCGTGATATAACGTGTAGCCGTTTTTAATGTGGGGATTTACACCGCGGTTGGTAAGTGGTTTTCTTACCTAACTCGTTCACAGGGCCTTTTGTTTGGTTGGTCAGGCGTTTTTTTTAATGGTTATGAATCGCCGGCTTTTTTTGCAGAAATATGTTATGTATGTATGGACATATATATATATCTGTGGGAGAGAAGGAGTTGGAGAAAATTTGCACATTTAATAGATCCATCATTCGCTTGTTTAACAATTAATGTGTGAGACTCGCTCTGTAAATATGAGATTTTATCGTGAAAATGAACATGTCCAGAATTATTGCAACCGTGTTATTACTTCGGATTGAATTACGCCTCTTATCATAAAAAATTATCTGGAAGAACAATTCCGTCTTATCCTGTGCTTTGGCGATACTCGCGCGAGGATACTGAAGCAAAGTCCGTCCAGTAAATGTACTTAATTACGAAAAAATTCTTCAGATCACTGATTATTCCGGTTTTACTCGCAATATTGATAAATAAAATAAAGGAAGGTCATTAAGTATGTGTGTTGATGAAAAGATTTGCATGCATTTTTGCGTTTTTGCAATTCGTAAAATCACTGCCACAATTCACAGAAATCGAGTGTGACAATAATATTTATTGCTAGAAAGAGAGCGAAACAATAGTTTTATACTCAATGTTACTCTATTTATTCGTCTTCTTCCTCTGGGTTACCCTATTCCCACAAAGATAACAACGCCGTCATAAGTGGCATACTTTCACGTGATGACATAGGCAACCCAAAATGCATAAACGTATTTACTTATATTCATTGTTTGTCGGGAAACCCATTTTCTTTAAAAATTTGTGCGAGATATTTTGCACTCTTTTTTGGCGTTCTGGTCTTTTCCTGAGAGGTACGGTCTACACGATGTACTCCGAATCCAACACTGTTTCAACAATGAAAATTAAAGTGCATGCAGGTGTAATTAACGTGTATCAAGTCGTGGGAAACCCAGTTAATCACCCACTTCCACACCACGCACTGATTTATTAATATTAAATATGTATGCTTACGTATATCCGTCAGACCATTCGAACACATCCAGAAGACACCAACCCAAGTATCCTGTACGTGTACAAGCAAATAATATTTGCAACATCGTTACAAAAAATTGTTCTCATAAGCCAGACGGTACGTAATAAGCTAATTATTCACCTTGTACATCACAAGAATCTAACAACACGGCTTTTAACGTTTCATTAATGTGACCCCGGAAGTAGGCGATGCGATCGTCGTCCTCCAATCGGTCGTCAGACTCAGCTCTTCCGTTCTCCGTTATGATCACGGGGGGATTTCCATACTGCTTTTTTATCCAGTTTAACGTGTTCCGTAGTCCGGTGGGGACATCGCGTTGCCACCAAACTCCGCACAGCTTCCCGTTAGGGTCACGAATTCGGTCAAGACCCAGGTCACGGTTCCAGCCAGGCGTGTTTGTCGGACAGTTGGCCTCTTCGCCGGCCTTGATGGTGGTCACCAGTTCGGCCGTGTAGTAGTTGAGGCCTAAGAAATCGATGGAACCCTTCAGAATGGTGGACGATTCGGGATCAAAAACTGGAAGTCTGGAGGTTGATCGTCCCTCCAGTTTGGATTGTTGAGCAATCGATTCTTTCATTATGGGAGGATAGTCCCCGTTAATTAAGGGGTTGACTATCCACCCAAGCTGAGTGAATTATAGGTCAATTAAATGTGTATTAATTGCAATTAAAAGTAATTGATCAATTTGTATACTCTGAATTGAAACGCTTTGTCCGCTGCTTCTAAATCTGTGGGGGAAGAGGGATCTTTGGGACCGTAATTGGAAGAGTCCACTGAAAATCCAACTTTGCCCTTTTGCTTGTCTTTGAATTCATTCTTGTAGATTTGATACGCAACCGCGTGCGATTTGAGCATCGTATGAACCGCTTTGTAAGGGGACTCCAAGGGCTCTTTAATGGCTGGAGCGAACGTAGCGAAATCGTAGACTTTCATGGAAAACACCCAAGGTTCATTGAAGGTTATAAAATATTTTACACGATCACCAAATCGTGAGAAGCATAAGCGAGCATACTCTGCAAATTTATGGCATGAATCGCATGAATTTTTTCTTGGGAATACTTCCTAATTAAACGTCCTAATTAATCAAGTAACTAACTAACCGGCAAAAAATTGGACGAGTTCCTCATTCAGCCAGCCATTCATTTCTTGTAAGGGTTGAGGTAGATCCCTTGATTCAAAGTTCGTAAATGTGTATTTTAAATTAATGTGCACCATTTTCTTCGTAAATTTTAAACTGTAACATTTACCAATGAAACAATGTCACACAGGGTTCAATCCCATTCGCGAGGAGTTCGTCAATGAGCCTGTTGTAATAATCGATTCCAGCCTCGTTGACCAATTCACTCGTTCCTTTGGGTAAAACTCTCGGCCATGAAATTGAGAATCGGTACATTTTCGCCTAATCAAGGTCATGTTATTAAATGTTCCTTTAAGCAAAAAATTGTGATATACGCACATTCATATCCTTCAAAAGTTTCACATCCTCCTTGTATTTCGTATAGCTGTCCATTGCCACGTCTCCATTGCTCGAATCCTTGATTCGTGACGCATCTTCATGACAAAATCTGTCCCAAATGCTTTCTCCCTTGCCTTATAGAAATCATACCAATTTATTTATGTGGATGTATGTATGTCATTCAAATCTTGCACGACCAGACGAGTTGTTTGCTTATTTTCTAGCCATTCTTGTATCTACTTAATTGTTGTTATTCGAAAGAATGCACTATTCTGCGTCATATTTTTGCAAGTAATTCGATCAAAACAATGATTGCCAAGTCAGATAAAAATTAACAGACACACGTCTCACTCATCACTTTTTTTAGTGTCATAAAATTTAATTGTAACATTTTTATGTAATTACCATCAGCTTTCCAACCTCCTTCAGTTTGATATGCGGAGTTTGCCATGCCCCAGATGAAACCTTTGGGAAAGACGTGGTAGAAGGAATCGTCATTGTTGGCCATCGTATATTTATTCCAGTGCGTATATTTATTTCTTTTATGCTTGTGCTGTATGTAGATTTTTGTACTGTTGTGCTTAAAAATAATGAGAAAAAAACTAGTTCTTATTGAATTCATTCATCTTGTACATAGCGAACAGGAAGGCGAAATGAATTGCTCGTATTTTACGCTAATAAAAATGAAGTGCAGCAAGATAACCAAACTGCATGCATAAAATCAGTGCATGGTAGGATTTTTTGTTTACCTGTTTTATCTGGAGTAGTATCTATATATTAATAAAACTCTATGGTAGTATCTATCTCGTGGGATGGATAAAACCGTTGAATAGACGTCTCCACTACTGCATTCGTCTACGTGTCGAAATGCAGACAATTAAGGAATGATTAATGAATTTCATTATATAAAGCTGTGCGTAAATGAGACAAAAATATGTACTATTTACTGTATGTGAGATAACAAACGTGTCTATTTACTTGATACGAGAGACGAAGACGTGATGCAGTCGGTCCAGTTGAATTTCTTGGAGAATGACGATAGCTCTGCTTATTTACTTCTTTATTTATGTAAACAACTCGCGTCTCCTTCTCCCAAAACAAACAAATTCAGGTTTAATTGATGAATTGGATGGGATTCTGGATTAGTGTTGACAGACAATTTGTTGGCCGTTGGTCACGTTCACGCTGTTCAATTGACAATTATCAATGTCAAATGTGGAGGGTAATATCAGTAGAGATTCACCACATGCATGCTTTTTAGCAGCATGACTAAGGCACGTCAGATGAAAAAGATGTTATGCTATATTTGCTATTGCATATGTATGTAAATACACAGCCAGCAAGCACATATTGACACTGACACTGGCAGTGCGATAACCTTGAACTGGTCAATGCATTGTTGGTATTCATGTGCTGGAGTTATTTGGTTATATGCAAATGTATATGTTGTCATTACTCGTACAATGGAAGAATCACGGGATATGCTGATTATGAATAATAGGCAATTCTGTAAATATCTGTGATTCATCTTGTAAATATATTTGGATTGTCAATTAATCTGTGCGTACGTGCAACTAAACCAGATCAGCACGGATTATTCGCGAGCCCTTTAATTTTTGGAAAATATCCCGACATTGTGAGAAAATATGTGGACGAAAAGAGTCAAAATGAGGGACGAAGTTCATCCAGATTTCCAACATTTGATGAAGAATGGTCGACTTTTCTGTCTGGTATAAAAATACTTTATACCTTCTCAATAATTTAATTAATGTCTGATTTAATCGTAATTTATTACTAGGCGGCGTTGTCGATTTTCTCGGCCTTAATCACTACACGACGCAAATGGTGTCAGCCAAGCCAACGCGTGGCCCCCCATCCTGGTACACAGATCAAGACCTTAGCACTTATCAAGACGACGCCTGGCCTAAGTCGGCGTCTTCCTGGCTGCGCGTCGTTCCCTCCGGATTTCGGCACATCCCCAATTGGATCAGAAAAACGTATGGAAACATTGACGGAAAATGGCTTCAGCGATGCGGCAATGACGACGACAGGGTCAACTATTTAAAACAGTATACGAACAACTGCTCAGAGCAGTGACGATTAATGGCTGAAATGTTATTGGATATTTGGGCTGGAGCTTGCCGGATAATTTTGAATGGTAATTTCGATAATTTTGAATGATGTGTATTTTTACTTAACTAACTAAAATTTAGCAAGAAATTATTACAAAATATTTGCAGGGCGAGTGGATAAATACACGTAAGCGTTATAAATAAGTAAATTCTTACGTTTGAAAATATTACTGAATAATTTTATTTTACTATGCAGACAGCGTTTTGAGCATTGGGGTTTCGTGCATTTGGGTATAAACTTCAGTGACCCTGACAGAACGAGAAGGACAAAAAATCTGCAGCATTTCTCAAAGAACTCTTTACCCAATAATGGATTTGTGAAAGTGGACGAATTTTAATTACCTGTGATATGCTAACTAATTACCTCATGTCTTGACTGTGATATTTAGTTAGATTCATGGGACAGTGGACACAAATTTGTGACCAGTCATATACCAATTGGTACATCCCTTGACATATTTGCCAAAAACATTTGGATGTTTATTAAATCAAGATTGTTGAGAAGCTGAATAATTCTAAACATATATTTCAATTTAATGATCAACATATTTTCATCCAAACTCCGATTATATAATTACCATATTTAGCAAGCGTGAAATGATGATGACCTATCACGACCTAATCATGCCCCATATTAAATATAACCCAGTCACCCAACCCAGTTTCCTAGAAAATTGATAAGCCCCTGGCAATTGTTATAAATATTTGTGATCTTATATATTCATCAATCATGAGGAGTGATTCAGATAATGCATAAATCCGATTGTTCATATTGCATGCACACTTTTATATGTTGATTTCATGCATTCTTGAGATTATCCTGATGATTTAGTGAGGAGACGTTATCATAACTTTGTGGCATGTTTGATTTGTGGATTATGATAAGAAAGGTACTGGACACAGTATTTAAATTGAAATATAGATTTGGAACGAGGCAGTGGTTCGTTTTATGTGTTCGAGAGAAGCTCGATTGTTAAAATGCTAAATTCTTGCTTATTTCTGGGCGCTCTGTTGCTCCTCGGATTCGGAGAGGAGGCGAAATCAGTAGCTCCGAAAAATCAGATCCGTGCCTTATTTCCTGACAACTTCCGGTGGGGGTTTGCCACTGCGAGCTACCAAATTGAGGGGGGTTGGGATGCGGATGGTAAAAATTAGAAGCTTAACCTTGTCACGTTTATGCTAAAATGTATGATTTCTTGAAAAAAATAGGAAAAGGTGAGAATATTTGGGACCGATTTACTCACACTCCCGGAAATATTGCGGATAACAGGTATTTATTAAGAATAATTTTGCAAATTGTCCTAATTTTACAACCAAACTTTAAATATTCCAGCACTGGGGATGTAGCTTGCGACAGTTATCACAATTATGCTCGAGATGTTGAGATGTTGAAAGACATTGGGGTATACAAATATTTAGATAACATGGAAGTCAATTTATGGCACCCTGAAAAATCCAAATAATTAACATTACACTAACAAAATTTATAGGCTGACTACTACCGATTTTCCCTGTCATGGTCCAGGTAAAACTATCAAACGTTTATCAAACTATTGGTTATCGAGTTAGTAAATTATGATGAGAAACATGAGATGGAAAATTAATTCGTGTGCAGGATCCTTCCAAACGGTACGCTTGCTGTGGTTAGCGAGGCAGGAATCGCGTATTACAACAATTTGATCAATTTGCTCATTGCCAACAACATCGAACCCATGATCACTCTTTATCACTGGTGAGACCTTTTTTGGCCACTGATTGCATTCATGATGGTCAGATCTGACAACCCTATGATTCTGTAGGGACTTGCCTCAACCTCTCCAAGACATTGGTGGTTGGCCGAATGAAGCTCTGATCCCACATTTTGAAAATTTTGCTAGATTAGCATATCAACGATTTGGAGATCGCGTTAAGCTATGGATAACTTTCAACGAAGCGTTCGTGACTTGCATGCACGGTTATGGTTATGGCAAGCACGCTCCAGGAATTTCGTAAGTTTTGCAGCTGAAAAAAATCAATATTATAATTATCCAACTACACATATTATTTTCTTAATTTTCATTATTAGAGGAGAAGACACGGAACCTTATAAATGTGCCCACACGATTCTCAAAAGCCACGCTAGAGCTTATCGAATGTATTACGACGAGTTTTTCCAGGCTCAAAACGGTCGAGTTGGAATTACCATCGACTCCGGCTGGTACGCCCCATTGGATCCAAACAATCCATCCGACGTGGAAGCAGCCGAAAGAGCTGTTCGATTCAAGGTATAATCTAGTTCAATAAAATTGCATCTTTGATTTCAGGGTGCAGTGTATAGGAGCTATTTTATTACTAACATTATGCTAATTATTGCAGCACGGATGGTTTGCATGGCCTGTATTTTATGGTCATTATCCAGACGAGATGAGAATTTTTGTTGACAAAAAGAGTGAGGAGGAAGGTAATTTTAAAATTACAATTTGGTAATTTCTGGCAATTTCTATAAATATATGTGCACATTCTAGGTCTGGATCAAAGCCGTCTTCCAGAATTTGACCGATACTGGGAAACCCAAGTCAAAGGTAATACGTTTGTGCTAAAATATTGCATAACATGCTAATCGCAACATGTGTCACCACCACGTTTATTTTATCAGGATCGTGGGATTTCCTCGGGTTAAACCATTACACCACAGAACTTTGTACATATAAGGTCGGGGAGTATTCTGGTTGGAGTCAAGACCAAGATGTAGGATTCTCTCGAGATCCAACATGGCCAGAATCTGCCAGGTTTGAGTAAAATTAATGTGTATATTTTGTACTAATTTAACAAGGAAATTGTTTATTTATTACTTATCAGTGACTGGTTGAGATCCGTTCCCTGGGGCTTTGGAAATCTGTTGAGATGGATCAAACGCAATTATGGAAATCCACTCGTTTATGTAACGGAAAACGGGTGGTCAGATTCTGACGCGGTCGGTCTCGAGGATGATTTGAGGGTGGAATATTACACAAATTACACGCAATCCATGTTGCAAGCAATTACAGAAGACCGTTGCGATGTGCGAAGGTTGGTTAATTAGATTTAGCTTATAAATAGCGGAATAATGAGCAAGATAATCCACCCTTTAGCTACACGGCGTGGAGTCTTATGGACAACTTTGAATGGGCGAGAGGCTACTCGTAAGTATCCACTTCTTCGTATAGATTTGCAAATTTATGTACTACCTTATGTAATAATAATTCTACAGGGAGCGTTTCGGCGTGCACTGGGTCAACTTTACTGACCCAGCTCGACCAAGAATTCCAAAAAAATCGGCAGCTTTCCTGAAACAATTGTTTGCCGACAATGGTTACCCAGGCCCAGATGTAAACAGCTCCGCCGAATCTAAGCATTGGAAGATATTGTCATTTACATATTTCATTTTAATTAAATTTATGCTCGGTTGACACTAGTTTCATCAAAATCCGTGAGCATACATTGGGAAACCTCCACTGTCAAAATATTTTCTGCGTAGTACTTAAATATGACCTATTTCTCGAATTTTAGCTTTCTACAACCATTTAGAATATTCTCCGACTTATACTTGAGAATCGCACCGGTCAATTATTTGACTGATCTTATCCATCTTCGAAATAAGTGTGACTCTAGTCCGGGGTCAATTTTTCGATCAATTTTATATATATTATTATTGAAATATTCACAAAAGTTAAAGTTTGACAGAGGGTCAGCACTTATCAAATGGTCAATGAATCCTATATGCAACAACCATAAATTATAATCGTCGCCCTGAACTTTTTCATGTAAAAAGAATGAATGTTATGTCCAGATTTCGTGCTCAAATTCGGGTGAAAGTTGAATTTGTTTTTATATTTGTGTGCAAAAAATTTATGATCACCAAAAATTGTAAAAAACTAAATCGCACAAACTCCTTTTTATTTCCATTTCTCTTATTTAAAACCCATCAACCTGATGATACGACATGACCCCTTCGACTATCGCTTTCACCGAGGCGAAAGTTTCCTCTCCCGTGGGAATTATCTGATCTGGTGGCAGATTGAAGCCATGCTTTCCAGTGTCTCTCAATTCGTAGCAGTACGCAAATTTTATCCCGGCCACGCCCTTCGCAAAGTCTTCAGTGCCGCCAGCAGCTGAAATTTAATTGATAACCCACGTTTACAAATTTATGTATGTAAATACATCTTATCACAAGTCATACCAGGATAAAGGAGATCAGGAGAAGCTCCAACTTGATACTTGGTCCCGTGCACGGCTTCCAACGCCTTTGCCGCCTGCCTCCCCACGTTCTCGAGCTCTTCCTTGTCCTCCAAAGGGACATAGTCGTAGCCCCACGGGGTGAAAATCATTTGAGAGTAGCTGTGAAAAGTTAGGACAAGTTTGAGCTGGTCTTTCCTCTCGAGAATGTACGCCTGACTGAGCGAGATTTCCGGTTCGGAGGCAGCTTTTGGTCCGTGATACTGCGAACTGCAGGGATTCTTGGAGGTTCCTTTCCCACCCCATTTATATTCCCAATTGCGATTTGGGTCTATATAGTCACCCATGTTTAAGCTGGGCTGAAGTGATGTGACTAATTAATTCCACGTATGTAAATTAGCTACCTGTTCCTAGACATCCAAAAACATTGGCCATAAAACTCCCATCGTTAGATCGTGTTTTTCGCCATAATCTGTCATTCGTATGCGAGTACTCGTACCCGTCGGGGTTAATGTTTGGTACCTTTGCAGAGCAATTTAAAATTTTAGGGCTTCAAGTATTTAGAAAAATATAACACGACGAACTAACAATGAACCAATCTACAGCGTTGACGAGTCGGTACTCTGGCCCCCCACGGATGGCTTGTTGTATTAGCTCGTTCGCAATGTATGTAACAGTTGCGGGGGAAATCCATTCTCGAGCTGGATAAAATTTAGATCTACTTTTTGAAATTTTGCAATCTGTGTATGTAATTTTATGTAGATAATTTACCATGAATTCCACCATCCAACCAGACCGCCGGTTTAGTTCGAGTTCCTCCAGTCGTAATCTTCATCAATTTCATGGGTCGACCTTCCGTGCTGAGTCCGTACGTTTCAACGGACACGAGAGCTGGATACTTTTCAGCCATGGAATCCATCCAGCCGTGAATCTACATACATATTGGTCAGAAACTTAATTTATGTTTTTTCCAAAATGAATAAGAACACAAACTGACGGTTGAAAGTCGTTGGTACGCGTTCCAATTCATGCCCTCACTTTTCCTCAAGATTAAATTGTTTGCCTTCAGCTCGGCGTTGAGTTCTCTGAAAATATTTTAGGGTAGAATATATAAATCTTATCGAGTATGTATATATTCTGCTGTATGAAAATCATGCTACTTACGTTTCGACATCTGGAACCATAATTTCATACGGGATGTGAAACTGGGCAAAGATCTTTTTAACATTTTGCACCTGTTCTGGACAGAGCATCACATCCGTGGGTTCCTTCATGCTGGGTCTCGTCATAAAGTCAAACAGCACGTCGGAGTTGTACAACTCCTCCAAAATTTTAAAACCCATCACATTCGATGAAATGTTGGAAATTCGCATGATTTGGTAGCTGAAAAGAAATTGGAGCATGAATTTTTCTATGTATTTTTCTATATTGATTTAAAAATCGTACCCTTGATAACTTTTGTGACCAGTTGGGCTGTCTCTGAGGACAGAGAAGATGCATGTCAGGGCGGGCAAGGCGTAGGTCAAAGGGCTCCCGTAATTGGGGACGGCTTCCATCATGAAAAAGATGAAGAAGGTGGTCCACCCACAGAACAAAGTAGTGAATGAATACGTGGTCATAAAATGGAGGCTGGTTTTATGCATGCACTTTCACCCTGAACCTGGTCGTTAATCGTTATTTAATTCAGCACCTTACATCTGCCGGTACAAGTGCAATATTCGTAAATATTTAATATGGAATGACAAATTTATACACTTTTTGTATGTAATGTAGGTATGTTTCTCCTTCCTCGAATGCTGCATCTTTATGGAGACAAGGACAATTTGCTATGCAATATTATAGTAAATATGTCACTAATTCTGTATTACATGAATGCATAAACTACAAATTACTGCATCGAATAAGTATGAGTTGTTAAATATTACGTGTAGTTGTGATAAATCTGAACTATTTTAGAAATTAGATTCATTAGTAATTATAATATCGATTTTTACCAGGCAAGAAGAAAGCTATCATTTGTCGTAGTGCAAATGCTTCACCTCCACGCCAATTGAAAATATTTATAAATCTCAAATTGTAAAACAAATTAAAGATAAGGCTCATGCGGTTTTGTTGCACAACAAAACTGCCAAAATTTTAATATCACATTATGTTTTGCGTTTTTGTAATAACAAAATATTTGCAAATTAGAGTGTGTTAAGGTACCACAAGAGAGTTGGCAAGGAATTTTACCACCCACTTTGATTGTAATTTTCTCAGAAACTATAGTAGGTGGGAATTTGGTTCAAATACAAATTTTGTAAAAAATACAGTACTCTAAATTTTGGTAAATGTCACCTTTTTCTGTTACTTATACTTATGTATTTATAGCCAAAATAGTCGAACATGATGAAATTTTTTAAAACGTCCTAGCGTCAAAACCATTCTGAGCACAAATGTGCGACGACTCCCATATCGTGCGAAATAGTTTTACACGGGGAGCATAATGGGTCTCATTTCCATATTGTCTTCCATACTTTTCGAAATAGCATTTTCTATTTTTGATCCTCCTTTTATTTCATATTTTCGAGGACAAAAATAGTTAAAATCTTATTTTCTGACACAAATGATCCCACAAACCGATTATACGCCCTGCAGAAATATATAATGATTCCAAATAACAGCCATTGTTACTTCAAAGTCCACCCCCTCGATCTCGGGGAGCTCTTAAAAATACCCCAATGCCCTTGTTGCTATACTGAGCCATACTTCATTGCTTGACTCAGGCAAATTACACAATTTTCTCAAAAAATCATGTTGCTAAGTCCAGAAAAAATTGAAATATTCAACCTCTTGTGGTACCTTAATATTAATACATTAGTTTTATGTATTATTAATTAATATTTACTTTTTCAAAACCAAAAATTTTACAACAATACAATTCATCGCAACCAAATAGGAATAAAAAATCTGACTTCATTCATACATAGCTTTGTTAACGTGTACTGTGCTTTGTTCACTCAAAAGTAATATGGTGCGAAAAGGTTGGATGTGGAAGCCTTTCGCGTTGTACAAACTCCTTGCGAAAAAGACAAAGAATGTTGACAGCGTGTTTCCCATCGCTGGGATTTATCAAAGACGGCAAATTCTGCATTCTTGAAAGCTCGAGTGAAATAATTCTTCCCATTAACTCCTCTCGCATTTCACGAAAGTACTATTTCCAACTATGCGCTACTAATTTATAGAAATTGCATAGTCGTCCATCTATCTATTTTGCCGCATAGGGCAATTCGATGCAGTAACGTACGCCACATTGTATATTTTGTCCATCGGGAGTAAAAAAGGCTTCAAGAGGATGAATCTAACACGCGATTTAAGCGAAAATGACAAAATTTGCGTATTGTTGCGACAAGTCCTTTATGGCAAATTAAGCTATGTCTAAAAAAACGCTTTAATCGAAACAATTATATTTTTGAAATTTTCAGAAATTTACAAATCATTTCTGTATTAACACTGAACAAGCATTATGTTTTACATATGGAATTGTTCAGCGTTAATGTCCTTAGTATATACATGAACATAGCGCAACCACGATCGGTAACGAATAAAACAGGACGGTTGTGAGGACGATGCCTCAATCCCAGAACGGCTTATGAGGTGGCAACATTTTGGACGGAACGTACTTTGGCCACATTTGCACCACCAGTTTCTGCACTTCGACGACTACTTTCCATCTTCCTTTCAGGCGGATGCAAAGCTCGCCAAAAAGCTTCTCTCTCCTAAAAAAACAAACTGAATGCAAATCTACATGAATTTCTGCCCTCACATTTTTGCTATACTGATTCAATGCAGAGTAAGGAATGCATAAGCATTTTACGCATGAAATGAATTATTTAGTGGCGTTTAAGTTGTGCTAAATTGTATTCCATTAAAAAAATGCGGTATTATAATTCGTTTTTCTGTAATGTGATAATGAAATGCAGAATTTGTTTTTTAAAAAAGTATTTTTAAAAAACATCAAGCAGAAAGTTGACGATATGCGTCGTTCCATTACCAGGACAAGTGGGGGTCGGTAGTCCCTATACAAATTTCGAAATTCATATGTCGTACTTATGGTATGGTATTCAAAACTTATTTTTAGCCTACGGATGAAAATTTCACCTGAATAATGGTATAATTGAAGTAATTTCATCGGCATCTGAGGACATTTTCTTGAATGATTTTATTGCATGCTTTCTTTCACATACAGTGAACTTCGTCAGGCAAAGTTTTTTGATAGAAAATTAAAAAGTGTTAATGTTATAATAATTTTTAGTCCTTTTATCCTGTGTGACAGCATCATGTCGTCATACATTTGCATCATGCACACTAGTTATTTGTGAATAATTAAGTACTTGAGACTTTATTTGTATTGGTGGCATGAAAGTGTTCATAATCTTACAAAATGTAATTATGTAAGTATAAATTTCCAGTTTTGATAAATATAATTAAAACTATAAAATTGAGAAAAAAGTTCAAACAAAGTGACAATTTTAATGACACGACGATTAATCACAAATTGTTATCCTATAGTAAAAATAAAAAGTAAACACAAAATTTACATATTGTGTAGATGTATGTACACTTGAATTAAACTATATGAATATCAACTTAAAACCTGTATTTTAAAGACCGAGTGACCAAGTATTCAAATGCGCCCAAGAGTATTACCTTTAGCATCACCAGTCCCACTGACACCTGTGGCAGTAGCCGCTTCTTGCTCAATAACAGCATCATTTGGTGGTACATTATAGATCGGAGTCACTTAAACCATCTGAAAATTCTACAGATACATATGAATCATACTCAGATTTCAGACTAGCAAAAAATTTTGAGATTTGGTATCATACATTTTACAAACTCTAACAAAATATTTTTACAAACCAATTGTTGCGTGAGGGAAACTATTTAAAGTATCTTTTTGGGAAAGAGGGTGAAATTAGCTATTTTACCCCCCAGATTTACTTATCACTTCATGTTTATGATTCCTCACTACTTTAAATTTGATATCGTGTTATATTTATGATGGAAAACACGCTTGACACTTTCATTTGCCAGCCAAAACTTGTACAAACAAATGTGTACACGCTAATTCCGTACTCCTACATACGATTAACACACCGCAAAGTGAATAATTAATCCGCATTTCTTGTTCGGCTCATACCCTCTCGATTTTCAATTCTGCTAAACAAATATCAATCGGGACAAATGCATATGTGTAAGTATGATGTAAAAATTGCACACTTTTTTTTACATGTAAATGATCATGCCCTTATCCATTACTGTGTTGGAAGAGGGTCCAATAAGAGAACTATCCCTACGTATGCGTCAACTTTACCCTCGTGATGGTACGATTTTGATGTACAATTCAATACTCATATTCCAACTCATGTTCGAAATTGACACAATGTTGTACTTTTTATGTTGCATATGTAAGCTTAGCTTGTGCACTAGTGATGTCAGTTGTAAGGCACCACCCTTCGAACGCAAAACTTACAACTTTCACTTCCTTCCTTAAACTTTTTGAGTTTTGATCATTTCAAAATTAACTAATCTGCTCTTATTGAATCAAAAGCCCTTATAAATAACCTTCATTGAAATTAAAATTTTGGAAAATACCACCCTGAAAAATGTGACAATCCCTGCATAACATTTGCCAACTTTCTCCAATCTGAAACCAACTTTTTATTTTTATCCAACCGATATTCACTTTAATCTACGACATAGAATTTCCAAGTCCTAATTTGAGAAAAGTTGCCCCCCTCGACGTTACAAAATGCCGAAGAGGGAGGTCACCCACAACCCACCATCATTATTGGCCGTATTACCAATATTTGCAATTGCTGTCTCGTCCATCATCATAACATGCACCTTAATCTTCATCTTGGTCCTCTGCTATCGCAACTGGGTCAAAATCAAGGCAGGATGGGCGTGGTTTTCGGGCCTTCAGCCGGACCAGAACTCGACAGGGGTTCAATTCCTCCGAGGATCTAAAATCCCTGGAATCAAGGATGCCATGAGACCTAACATACATCCACTCAGAAGGTACGCAAAATTTTCGGACATTACATAGCTGTAACTTTTTTTTTTAGAATGCAATTAAGGAAGTCGTTAAAAATAACAATTGAAATTTAGAACATTTGCATAATTAAGCGTTACTTCATATGATGCTACATAAGAACCATGTAGAATGGTATTCACAAACTTATGTGTGACTAATTGCATTGGTGAATTCACACCCACATTATTGAAAATCAATCCATTTCCGTAATCATCATGTATATGCATTTCACATTTATCCAAAATCCAATCGTCGTAGGCGAGTACATTTCAAAGCAGGATTTACAAATTTATAAAGCCATATCAAATGCACATAAATGTAATATATGCACATATGTACGCGTTTGTTATTTTGTCATATTCAGCCAGTTGCATACACACATACATTTATGCAGTATTGAATATGATGAGCAATGTTCAACAATTAATTTCATGAATACATCTCCATGTTGCGGTACATATTAATGTACGACTGGTTGTAAATACATGCCTATCGCGAATATCATTTAGCAAAGATGTCAATCAATCTGA